CAAGGGGCTTGTGTGTTTCTTGTGCCCAGCTTTGGTGTATTTTTCTCTGTTTCTTTTGGCTGTAGGTGTCAACTTCCAGGCTCTGCCTCCTGTTAGAGGAATTCTAATGTCAGGAAGTTAGGGAGGGAGGTCATTCCTGTCTTAAGTGGAAAACAAAGAGGGAAGTGACATAAGGGACCTCTGTGTGGAGTCCAGCTTCTTCTAGAGGCCTTGTCATGGGTTTGGCGGGGAGGATGGTCAGGGGCTGGAAGACCAGGCAGTGTTAGGGTGTGTGCTCCTCAGCATTCCCTCTGGAAGAGGCTGGAGGGAGCCGGATATGATGAACAGCATGAAGGGGAGAGCCTGGCATAGGGATAGCAGGGTGCTCTATGGGGAAGAGTGACAGCTTGGAGTTGGTGGTGAGTGAGAGGGAGGTATACGAGGCAGAACAGGGGTATAGATGGTGTCATGACAATAACTCCAGCCAAGCTGGAGGACCTGGGTTCTTCCTGTATGACTTTGAAAAAGACACTTCACTTTCCTGGGCTTTGGACGCCTGTCTGTCTTCCTGATAGTTGATGGTCTTTTTTGCTTTGAATATTTTCTTATTTAACTCTTCAAGAGCTTCATATGAAGCTTTAGTGTTCTGCCCATTTTACACATGAAGAACTGAGATTGGGATTCAGAAAAGTTGGGTTACTTACCCAACATCTCATAGCTAGAAAGTATGCAGCTGGGACAACAGGACTCGCATTCAGTTGACTCTGGCTCTTATGGGGACAGAATGAAGGACAATGTGATGGGTAGAGCTCTATTTGATCCATTTCCTGGCTGTGCTGTCTTGAACAAATCACCATGTCTTAGGGGTTTTTTGGGATGGGTTAGGGGGCATACCCGGGATTGAACTCAGGGACACTCAACCACTAAGCCACATCCCCAGCCCTATTTTGTATTTTATTTAGAGACAGGGTCTCACTGAGTTGCTTAGCACCTCACTTTTGCTGAGGCTGGCTTTGAACTCTCAATTCTCCTGCCTCAGTCTCCTGAGCTGCTGGGATTATAGGCATGCACCACCACGCTCAGCTTTTTTTTTTTTAATTTTAATTTTCTGCAGTGCTGGGTATAAAACCCAGGGCCTTATTCATGCTAGGCAATAGCTCTACCACTAAGCTACATCCCCAGCCCTGTCTCAGATTGTTCACCACAAAAAGGGAATGACAATAATGTCAGCTAAGAGTGGCTACTGAGTCACACTGAAGAGTAAATAATGCACATTCTAGTGCCACAATGCTTGCTTGGTTCCTAGTGAATGCTCAATAAATGATAGCTATTATTATCATCCTTTTAATTGCCAATATCAAATAAGCATCTCAGAAGGCCAAACACACTCCTTCCACCTGAGTTACATTTTTTCCTATAAGGCTATGAGGGGATAAAAGTCCAGCCAGCTAGACTTGTAGGGCCAAGTGGAGGAGGATGTGAGGATCTAGATTAGACTGTGGTTGATGTAGCTGCACATTAGGACATGTGGAGGTTCTTTTATTTGTTTGTTTGCTTATTTATTTATCAGTGGTACTGGGGATTGAATTTAGAGACACTCTATCACTGAACCACATCCCCAGCCCTTTTTATTTTTATTTTTTTGAGACAGAATTTCACTAAGTTGTCCAGGTTGGCCTTGTGCTTGCAATCCTCCTGTTTCAGCTTCTTGAGTTGCTGAAATTATAGGGGCTCTTTTAAACATGGGGGTGTAGCTCAGTGGTAGAGCCATTAGTTGGCTTGTTTTTAGACTTCATATAAAAGGAATCATGCAATATGTATTTACTTGTATGTGTGACTGGTTTATTTTGCTTAATGTTTCTAAAATTCATCCCTTTGTGTGTGTGTGTGTGTGTGTGTGTGCATCTCAGATCTTTTTAACTGTTGAGTGGTTTTGATGAACATTTGGGTTTTTCCAAGTTTTTTGGTTATTGTGAATAAAACTTCTATGAATGTTCATGTGCAGGTTTTTATGTTTTCCTTGCATTTGGGTAATAGCCAGGAGTGGAATTGGTAAAATATCTAGAAGTGAAATTGCTGGGTCATAATGCCATAAGGTCATGTTTAACTCTTTATAAAAAACTGCCAAACAGTCCTTCAAAGAGATTGTACCATTTTATACTCCCACCAGCAGTCTAGGAGAATTCTAGTTGCTTTCCATTCTTACTAACATTTGGAGCTGTTGATGTTTTTAGTTTTAGCTCTCCTACTAGATGTTAAATGGTACCTCTTTTTTTTAATATTTATTTTTTAGTTATAGGTGGACACAATATCTTTATTTTATTTTTTTATGTGGTGCTGAGGATCGAACCCAGTGCCTCATGCATGCTAGACGAGCATTCTACCTTTGAGCCACAACCCCAGCGCCCCCAACCCCCCCAGTCTGCTTTTTTTTTTTTTATATTGGAGATGGAACCCTCATGCATGCAAACACTCTACCACTGAGCTATGTCCCCAGCCCCCTCATTATGGTTTTAATTTGCAATTTCCTGAGGACTATGTTGAGTACTTTTTCATGTGTTTAGTGCATCTCTTTTTGCTCATTTTTAAAAAAATGTATTTTTTCACAATATATAAATTATTCTATTGTTGATTTGTAAGAGGTCTTTAAATACCAAGATGCTCTTCCTTAGATATCTTTCTTTTTCTTTTCTTTTTTCTTTAAAGGACAGCTTAATTGAAGTACAATTCACATCACCATATCATAATTTATTCATTTAACGTGTATAATTCAATGATTTTTATTATTTTCACAGAATTGTGCAATTATCATCATTGTTAATTTTAGAACATTTTCATCATCCTAAAAGGAAATCCTATTCCCTTTTCCCCATTCCCTTAACCCCCAGCCTTGGTCAATCATTAATGTATTTTCTATCTCTATGGATTTGCCTATTCTGAACATTTCATGTTAACTCAGCCATAGTATATGTGGTCTTTTGTGTGTAGCTTCTTTCATTTAATGTAATAGTTTCACAGTTCATCCATGTTGTAGCATGTATCCATACTCAATTTCTTTTTATTGTTGAATAAAAATATTCCAATGTGTGGATATGTCATTTATTTATCCTTTTATCAACTAATGGATATTGGATTATTTCTACTTTTTGGCTATTATGAGCAAGTAGTACTACTATAAACATTTATGCACAGTTTTATGTGCGGGTCTATGTTATTTTTCTTAGGAGTAGAATTGATAGATTATATGGTAACTCTATGTTTAACCTTTTGAGAAACTTACAGATTATTTTCCAAAGTGGTTGTACCATTTTACATTCTCACCAACAATGTATAATGACCAGAGCCCAGATAGATCATCTAAAAATGAAGATCTGTTCATAAATGTGTCTGCCTCAAAAAATTGTTACAGGAATTATTTGTTTGTTTGTTTTTTAATTTACAAGAAAATTTTACCTACCTGAAGCTCATGAATATATCTTCCATTTTAATGGTTCTGAATTTTATATTTTGTTATATGATTCATCTTTAATTTTTGTGTATAGGATAAGTAGAAATCATTTTGTCTGTACAGTATCCTGCTGTTTCAGCACAATTAATTAATTTGTTAAAAATTCTTTCCCACTGAATTCACTCAGAGTTTTGGTCAGTTGACCATATTATATGTGTGAGTTTATTTCTGAGCTTCTTTGTGTGTGTGTGTGTGTGTGTTTGGGGAGTGGATACTGGGGATTGAACCCAGGGGCACTTTATCACTGAGCCACATCTCTAGCCCTTTTTATTTTTTTGTTTTGAGACAAAGTCTAGCTAAATTGCCTAGGCTAGCCTTGAATTTGCAATCTGCCTTCCTGCCTTGGCCTCCAGAGTCACTGGGATTACTGGTCTGAGACCTCAAATCCACCCACACTTGTGATTACTGCGGCTTTAGAGTAAATATTAGGTAGTATAAATATTCCTTGCTTTTCTTTTCTAAAGTTGTTTTGGCCATTCTAGGTCCTTTGTATTTACATATAAATCTTAGAACCAGTCTGTTGATTTATTTAAAAATGCTGAAATTTTACTTGTGATAGTGTTGACTCTAAACATGAATTTGAGAGCTACCTTGAGTTTCTGATCCCTGGTCATCTGTATCTTTCCATTTATTTTGGTCTTTGATTTCTTTTTAGCAGGAATTTCAGTACAGTTTCTGTATAGGGATCTTGCACATCTGTTACTTAATCCTGGATGTTATGTTTTTTAAACATGGAATTGTTTTTGTGGTTTCAATTTTCAGTGTCTCATTGACGAATGCAGAAATACAATTAATTTTTCTATATTGGTTTCGTATCATTCAGCTTCATTTATTAGGTCTAGATGTCTGTCTTGCTTTAGTAAATTGTAGTCCCAAAGCCAGCTATGTGGACTTTTAATTGAGGTGTAATTGGTCCAGTATTGAGGAGCAATATGAAGATTTATACTGAATAACGTTTAATTTATAAAACTGAGCCTTTGGAGGAAGGGGCAAGAATGGCTGTGGCATCTGGTATTTTTAGAGTTCTTCGTAAAGATTCTAAGAGCGCAGTTGAGAACCTTTGATTTACAAGGTGCCTGGTGGCAAACACACTGGCCCAAAGGTCACCCTCCCCTAGGGGACTAGCAACGAGGGCTGAGGGAGTGTCTGGACCAAGGACCACCCTCGAGAAAAGGCAAATGAGTTCCGGGTTCCCTTCCAGGCCGGGAGGAGTGGGATAAGCACGCCTCACAGACAGGCGGCCTCGCGCCTGTGGCTCTAACAGACGTCCATCAATGTCCCCTTGACCGAGGTTCGCTGTGCCTCCCACTTCCTCCGCAGACACACCTATCTACACTCCCCCCCCGCCCCGCCCCCGCGAGAGATCCCTGTTAACAGGGCGCTATCCACAAGCTTCACGCGGACGACCCTCACCCGTGGCAGATGTTACAGATGAGGAAACTGAGGCTCAGAGAGGCCGGGCCTTCGTGTAGGGCCGCCTCCAGTTCGACCCTTTTCCCGTAACCCTTTTCAGGTATAATGAAATTAAATCGGAGCTGGAGGAGCTGGACCACATCACTGAGCAGACGCTCTTTGACCTGTACAAATACAAGTTCAACACGCGCCTGGCCAGTCCCCGCGGCCGTCGCGATCTCGGGGGCACTCTGCCGCACCCACTGCAGCGCCTGCGGGTCCTGCCCCAGCCCCGCAAGGCCCGCAGAGCACGCGGCGCGACCTCCAGCATGCGGGACAACAACCCCCAAGTGGACAGGAAAGACTGGAAGATCGGCTTCCAACTGGTAAGGCAGCTGGAGGGCACCGCCCGTCCACTCGCCCCACCCCGCCCCCCCCCTCACGCCGCAGACCCCGCCCCTTTCGGACTCGCCTCTACAGATGAACGAATCAGAATGAGCTCTTCTGATTGCGGGCAAATTAAATAAATGAAACAAAATAGAATGAAATGGAATGGAAAGAAAAGAGAAAAATAAAATGTAAAATAAAAATAAGATTACACCTTTCTGTGAGCCAGTTTGTGCAGTCTCCTCGCTGGGAGCCTATGTTCCAGCGTTTAAGCCACAGGAAGTCCAATCTATTGTGGAAAATGCACTTTTCAGAATCTCTGGTTCTCAATGGTGGTGCTCAATTGGGACCTTCCAAGTCTAATGGAAAACTGGGGCTTTACTAGCCTAAGACAGAGAACTAGAGACAGTAAAACGGGAGACTTAAAAGTATTTTTAAAATACAAAATTATCTGTGGGTGTAGCTGAGTGGTAGAGCACTTGCCTAGCATGCATGAGACACTGGATTCAATCCCCAGCCCCCCAAATAAATAAAATCAAAGGCAAAATTACAGGAAATGTCTTCTAGGCCCAGCTCTGTCTGAAAAACAAAACAAAATACATACCTTTTGTTTCCTCAGTCTTCCCCCCAGTGAAATGGGAGAAGTTCTTGCTCTTCCCCCTGCAGGGAGTATATAAATGAACTGTAATCATGTGTGACTCTTCCCTGCTCACCCATCCTTTAAATCCATTTTCCCCTGGCCCACTCTCCTGGGCTTCTGCTTTACCCACCCTTTCTGCACTATTGCATTCTTATTCCTCATCCCTGTCCATCAGCCCTCAGAACTCCAGACAACTTATCCTTGACCCCGTCCTGGCCTGCTGCTGGCCTTTTGGGCCCACTAACATTCTGCTCTCTGTGTCCAGTGCAACCAGAACAAATCTGACTGCTTCTACCAAACATACTCATCAGGGGTGGATGCGGTGAGGGAGTGGTACCGCTTCCATTACATCAACATTTTGTCCAGGCTGCCAGATACTTCACCATCTCTGCAGGAGGAGGCACTGGGCAACTTCATCTTCACCTGCCGCTTCAACCAGGCCTCCTGCAACCAGGCGTGAGTAGGTTCTGCTGGGGTGGGTGTTCTTCTCTGGGCCTCCCTTGGGTCATCCTGAGGCCCATGGGTCCAGAAAATGCTTGATAATTAAATATGGAAATGCTGACAGTGGGTAAAGGGGAAGAACTGGCCTCAGGACCATGCCTCTGCCTCACGGGTCACACGGAGGCCCTGCTAGATCTGAGTGCAGTGGCCTCATCTGAATTCCATTGGAAGATTGGGGCTCAAGGTCTGGCTTTGAGAAATCAAGAACTAGAAGCATGGTTCTCGGTCTTTCTAAGGCCTCTTTCTCACTAGCATTAAAGTTCACTCAGACCTGGGAGGTAGTAAGTGTAGTGAAATAGTGTGGATTGAAAGACTAAAACCCAGTTCCCACTCTGTTTCTGTGACTTCCTGGTTGGGTGACTGAGCATTTCACATCATTCTTCAGAGCCCTTTGTTTGTAAAATGGAAACAAAAAAAAAATACACAAAATGAAATTATTTAATCCACCTTTTTTTTTTTTTTTTTTTTTTAATTTGTTTGTTTTGCTTTGTTTTGTTTTGTTTTTAACTGTCTGGACTATGTGTCAGATACCGTTCTAGGCACTTGAGGCACATTAGAGAAAAAAAAAAAAGCCCTTGCCCTTTTGGCACTTGTACTCAAGTGAAGATGATGAGGATAACACAGAGTGCACAAGGTAACACTTGTCAAGACATTTATACACCACTGGATTGATGGATCTCAATATTCTTGTCCTTAAACTGGGTCAGAAGCCGGCATTAGCTGAAGATTCTTCCTACTCCGTTGCCCCTCAAGCATTCTTTTGGTTGGGACCCCTGTCATGATGTCCTTGCAAAGAGGTCATGGCTGCTGTAGTCTCTTTGAGAACTGGGAAAGGCTGGGAGTGGAGGGGGTTCCATTCTGTTGCCTCTGGCCTCGTCCTACGCCTGCCTTCCCCTCCTGCTTCTGCTCCTTGAGCTTTGGGGGCCATCTCCATGTCTCTGCCTGGCTGAGGAAGGGTGCTGAGGCAGCATCTCCATTCTACAGGGGGCCCTTCCCTCCTATGCTGGAGAATGGCAGCAGGGCCAGGTGTCACCTGGTTCTGCCCCTACCATTCACCCCTCACATATACTTTGTTCAGCACACAACTTGGTTCCTGTCTCTAGTCTTAGTGTTTGTTTGAGGACAGAAGTGAGCAGCTGGGAAGTAGGGCAGCTAAGCCCGAGTCAACTGGCACCTGCCACCAAGCCTCTCTAACTGTCACTTTCCCACCTGTAGTTTTCATTTCCATCCTCTCCCTTTGCCTGCTCAATGCTTGTGCCTCCCATCAACAGAAAGTCCATAGTTCATCCTTGTTTTGGCATTTAAGTGACTTCCTCAGTTCAGTTCTTCCCAGTTCTTACCTGGATTATTATAACTACCCGCTAATTTGTTTTTTCTGCTTCTAAATCCTCCCTTTATTCTGTGACCAAAGGAAGTGTCTCAGTCTGTTTTCTGTTGCTGTAACAGAATACCACAACCTGAACAACTATAAAGAAAAGAAATTTTATTCTTCTAGTCCTAGAGGCTGGGAAGTCTAAGAGCATGGTGCTGGCTCTTGGTGAAAGCCTCTATAATATTACATGGAGAAAAAAGGCAAGTGAGTTCATGTGAAAAGAAAGCAGGAAGGGCAGACTTGATTTTTAACAATGCACGCCCCACCTCCACAATGATGACCTTGATCCATTCATGAGAATTCTGTCTTCACGACCCAATTACCACTTATTAGGCCAAACTTCCTAACACATTGGGATTAAGTTTCCAACACATGAACTGGGAGAGTTTGAACCATAGCAGGAACTTTTGCATTTCACTATACTTAACTATTCCAGTTTGTCCTGTTTAAAATCCTTTGGTCTCTTGTGGTCTTCAGAATCATGAATCCTTTATTGTGGCCTTCTTTTTTTTAAAACATAGGTTAGCTGCACATTTTTTTCCCTAAAAAAAAATGTATATATATATATACACATACACATACATATATATAATATATATATTTCATTTCTCTTGGTATTATATATATATATATATATATATATATATATATATATTTTTTTTTTTTTTTTTTTTTTTGGTGCTGGGGATTGAACCCAGGGCCTTGTACATGCAAGACAAGCACTCTACCTACTGAGCTATATCCCCATCCCCCTAAATATTTTTTTTGTAGTTGTAGATGGATACAATACCCTTCTTTATTCATCTTTATGTGTTGCTGAAGCTCGAACCCAAGGCCTCACACGTGCTAGGGAAGCGCTCTGCCACTGAGCTACAACCCCAGCCTTAGTGTGGCCTTCTTATCCCTCTCCAAAACCTTCTTATCCCATCTACAAAACCTTCCTTCACATATTATCTTTTCTTTTTCTTTTTTTGCATGTGTGGTTCTAGAGATGGAATTCAGGGCGTCACACATGCTAGGTGAGTGATAAACTGCTGAGATACATCTGTAGCCTTAAATTTTTCTTTAATAGTATTTGAAAATATGGCATATGTGCCATAAATTCTTCCTAGTAACATGTCCAACTTCGTGGCTTTTAGTATGTTCAGAGTTGTGCAACTATCACTGCTATCTAATTTTAGAACATTGTCCTCACCCCAAAAAGAAACCCGCTGCTTATCAGCAGTTCCCCACTCACTCCCCTCCTCCAAGCCCTGCAAACCACCAATCTGCTTTCTGTTTCTATGAATTGCCTGTTGTTGACATTTCACATAAAGGGAAGCATGCAATATGGAGTCTTCTGTGACCAGTTGGCTTCTTTCACTTAAGCGTAATGTTTTCAAGTTCATTTATGTTGTAGCATGTATCTGAACCTCATTTCTTTTTATGGGCAAATAATATTATATTTAGAAGGTAGCTTTATCCATTCTTCAGTTGAGAGACATTTGGGTAATTCCCACTTTTTGGCTATCATTCATGAAACTGCTATGAACATTCTTGTACATGTCTTTGTATGGATGCATGTTTTCATTTCTCTTGGTATAAATCTAGGAGTGGAATTGATGTGTCATATCGTAACTCTAGATTTAATATTTTGAGGAACTGCCGGACTTTGTCAAATGGCTATACTATTTTACGTTCCTAACAGCACTGTAGGAATGCTCCAAATTCTCTATATCCTACATTTGTCTGTCTTTTCATTTTAGCCCTCTTAATGAATCCCTGTAATCTTCATAGTAAACCAATGCAGCTCTTACTAAGTGCTAAGCACTGTTCTAAGTGTAATTTATCACACCTGTGAGGTAGATATTTTTAACATCTTGATTTTACAGATAAGGAAACTAAGGTTCAGAGAAGTTAAGTAATTTGTTTGGTATCATGTCTTTTCTTCTTTTTTTGTAGTATTGGGAATTGAACCCAGGCCCTCATCAATTCATCTCACTTTTAATACTTTTATTATTTAATTAAATTAATTAATTAATTATTTTGGTACCAGGGATTGAACCCATAGGTGCTTAACCTCTGAGCCACTCCCCAGCCCTTTATTTTTTTATTTTAAGACACGGTCTCACTAAGTTGCTTAGGGTCTTGCTAAATTGAAGAGGCTGGCCTTGAACTTGCAATCCTCCTGCCTTGGCCTCCTGAGTTACTGGGATCACAGGTGTGTGCCACCATGCTATCTAATACTTTCTAAAGCTTAGAGATTCAGTTCTGGACTCTGTGCTTTTAATCATCACATTATAAGGCTTCTCATAGGCCATTATATTAATATGCTTAATGTATATTCTTTGTGTTTTTGCAAAATTCATATTTAATTTATGTACACGGCATTATATATCTCATTGAATCCCCTGCCTTTAAAAACTAAGCTCTTGGGGTTTAAGATCCATCCACATTGCTGATTCCATCTGCTGATTTCATCTGCTGTGTGCTGTCCATGATGTACATCTGCAGCATCGTGTCTGTCCCCTCTCCCAGCAGGCAGGGCCCAACGGCCTTTTAGGACTGGCCACTTCTGTAGCCTCTTCTTCATTCACTCTTTGCATCCAACCCATCTCTGGAAATACTGACTTCCTAGCACATCCTAAAATATGTTCTGGTATTTCACACCTCTGTGCCTTTGGCTTTTAAGGTCAATGGAATATTCCAGATCATCTTCTTCTAATCTCTTCATTTTGTAGATAAGGAGAATGAGCTCAGAAAAAAAATGACTTGTTCAGGGCCATACAGGCAGAACTCCACTCCTTACCTCTGACTAGACTTCTTGCTTCTCTTCATTTCTCCTCTGCCTCTCACAGGTCAAAGCCTAATCTTCCTCTTCGCCTGCTCCCATCACCAGCTCTAAGATGAAATGGTAGTAGAATATAGATTTCCTCTGTCCTCAGGTGGGCTCTCGCTGCAATCCAACACAGCCTCCTGGCTTTGAAACCTGTTATTTGCTGTCAGATCTTATTGTTACTACAACAGCATTGCCTCTGATTGCTTTCTCTGGATTCCCAAATCTATTGTAGATTAGTTTTGGATCTGTCAGTCTGAGACATGCTGGTACAGGAGGCCTTGGAAAAACACTTGGCCGCATTTTACCCCTGGGCTCTGAACTTCCTCTTCTTAGCACCATGTTCCTCATGTCTCACTCTTTCCTTTAACCCTGTTCCCCTCCACATCTCTATTTCATTCTCTACATCTCTGTTTCATTCATTCTTTCATTCATTCACCCAGCAACTATTTGTTAACTATCTCCTATATGCCAGGAACACCAAGATGATATAGAGATGAATGAGATGTGGCTTCTAACTTCAAGGAGCTCATGATCGCGAAATGGGGAACTAAGAAGTAGATACGTGAGAAGTTAGGGGTACTGTAAGAGTCTTCACAAGGCACAACAGTAACGCAGGAGAGAGTCACAAGGCAGCGTATAAGTCAAGACAAGTGAGGTCAGATGGCTTGGTGGGAGAAATCTGAGCTAGCAGGTAGTTGTCCTGGGCCTGAATCCCAGGGCCATCATCACTGTCTATGTGACCTTGGGCAGCTGTTTGACCTCTCTGAGACTGAGCTTCCTCTTATATGATGTGAGAATGAGGCTCCCCAGGGAGACAGAGGGGGAGCATACTGGGTGATTTGGAAACCGACAGCTCTGAAAGGCTTAACTCCTATAGGTGTTTACAAGAATGATTCTCCTCTGCCTCTTCCTGTTCTCCTGCTTCCTATACATACCCCTCTAACCCTACTCTCTCTCCTGCTAAGGAATTACTCTCACTTCCACCACCCAATGTATGGGAATTGCTATACTTTCAACAACAAGAACAATTCCAACCTCTGGATGTCTTCCATGCCAGGAATCAACAATGGTGAGAAACTCCCAGGACCTGGATGCCCCACCTCTGCCCCAGCCCTTCTCACCTTGGGCCCACATCCTAGAGATGCCATGTGCCTTCTGGGTCTCTATCCTGGAAGGAATCTTCTCTTCTCTTTCTCCCCCAAGTGCATTGTATAGTCCATTCCAGGCATGAGAGGAATCCTGTCCCAGTCCTTTCTTGGCTGCCCCCAGAATTCAGCCCCAGGGTTGCCAAATCCACTTGCAGGTCTAACTGGATGTGCTGTCCTTAGAGATTAGTGACTAGGAAAGGTAGGAGGGTGGGTTTCCATCCCCTGACTCTTCTCTAAGACCTATCCCGCAACTCTGTTCCTGCTGCATCCCCCAGGTCTGTCCCTGACATTGCGCACAGAGCAGAAAGACTTCATCCCCCTACTGTCCACGGTGACTGGAGCCAGGGTAATGGTGCATGGGCAGGATGAGCCGGCTTTTATGGATGATGGTGGCTTTAACCTGCGGCCTGGTGTGGAGACCTCCATCAGCATGAGGAAGGCAAGAATGCTAACTGGTAGCTTGGGAAGAGAGTCCCAGATTGGAGAGAGGCCGGCAGGACAGGGGAGGTAGACAGGACAGCCAGGGACTATGGAAGATCATATAGGGTGGGCCTTGAGCATGGGGTGATCTTCAGGTGTAGGAATCAGGGGGAAAGGGAATGGCTGAGAGGGCATGGGCAGTGGATCCTGGGGAGTGGAGCTTGGGTGAGAAGTGCTGAAAGGGGGTTCAGGGCATGCTTGGGATCTCAGGGGATGCTCTGAGCCCAGTGCCCTTGAATCAGGTCGTAGAGGGATGGGACCTGGGGATTGCGGAGCATGTTGAGGTTGGGAGGCAAATAGGAGGAGCTGGCAAGATGTGAGATATGACCTGAAACTGAGGAAAGACAGAATCCTGGCACAAGCCTGGGCCACTTGCTCTGACCTCTTGATGTGCCTGGGTTCCTAGGAAGCCCTGGATAGGCTTGGAGGCAACTATGGTGACTGCACTGAGAATGGCAGTGATGTCCCTGTCAAGAACCTTTACCCTTCTAAGTACTCGCAGCAGGTAAGGCCCAGACTCTTTCTGTGGCAAGCTGTTTCCTAGGCCTGCCCCGGGTGGTCAGTCAGAGTTGTGGGGTGGTGAAAGAGGGGGACTTTGGGATGAAGGCTGCGGGAAGAGTGATGGAGGTCCAGTGCAATTCCTTCTCATTCCTTCTCATCTCTCCTCTAGGTGTGCATCCACTCCTGCTTCCAGGAGAGCATGATCAAGGAGTGTGGCTGCGCCTACATCTTCTACCCAAAGCCTAAGGATGTGGAGTACTGCGACTACAGGAAGCACAGCGCCTGGGGTGAGAGCCTGGGAGCCCCTGGGCTGCCTCACCCCTCTACCCTAGGGCTTCCCCGAGCTCTCTCCTCCAGTACCTTCTGTCTAAGGCATGACTCTTGCTCCCACCACCCTAAGGAGTTCTCCCTCTCCCTCTCTCAGCCCTTACTCTCTGCCTCTGTTTTCCTCCCATTCTCTGTATATTTCCTTTATTTCTTTTTTTCAACATGATTTATTCTATTTTATTTATTTTTTATTTATGTATGACAGCAGAATGCATTACAATTCTTATTACACATATACACCACACTTTTTCTTATCTCTGGTTGTATACAAAGTATACTCACACAATTCATGTCTCCATACCTGTACTTTGGATAATAATGATCATCACATTCAACCACCATTAATTACCCCATGCCCCCTCCCTTCCCCTCCAACCCCTCTATTTCCTTTATTTCTGTTCCTCCCTGTTGGCTCTCTGTCTCTGCTTTTGTGTATTTGTTAAGGAATTGCCCCCATTTAAAAATAACCTGCAGCAGAAGGAAGAAAGAGCGCATGTCCCTCAACTCCTTCCCCGCTCTCCTGCTGCAGCTTCATCTCGTACCTGTGGAGCATGGCATTCACAGGGTGCTGAGCAGGACTGGCTCCAGAGGAGCTGGGTGGGGCACAGGACAACTCTGGGGCCCAGGAAGAAAATGTTAGAAGTCATATGTGTCTGTCTCATTTCTTCACATTTTCCATTATACATACATTTTAGAATGTATATACTATATCCATCCAGTAGTTCAGCTATGTAATTTGTAAATCAAAAACATATCTCGGACTTGCTTATTTTAGATGTGTGTATGTATGTGTGTGTGTGTGTGTGTGTATATATATATATATATATATTTAACCTGGAGGAGGGCACAATCAAACAAGTTTGGCTACTCCTGGCCTTTCCTCCTTATCCTGGTTTAGGAGTTGACAAATTCTTCTCATCTCCATTACTGCTGAACTGTTCAGCATGGAAACTGTGTGTTAGGAAGATGAGAAAGACAAACCCAGCAAGAAACCATGGCAACTGGGTGCTGTGGTGCACACCTGTTATCCCAGCGACTTGGGAGGCTGAGGCAGGAGGATTGCAAGTTGAAGGCCTGCCTCAGCAACTTAGTGAGACCTGTCTCAAAGTAAAAAATAAAAATGGCTGGGGATGTGGCTCAGTAATAAAGCACCCCTGGGTTCAATCCCCAGAATATATATAAAAAAAAAATATGCACACACCCCATAGATGCTCTGAGGGGTCATGTTTCTGTGTTCCTGCTACACAGGCTTTCATCTGGCACAGCTATCCTGTTCCACCCTCCTCTTCCTCCCAGGGCTTTATGGGCAAGGAGGTAGGCTGAGGGACATGGTAACAGGCACAACAGGCACAGAGGCCATGCCAGGAGCTGATCATCTCACCCAGAATTTAGAGTCCAGCCCTGCCTCCATTCTGTCAGTGGTGATTTTTCAGCCCTCTTCTCTTTTCTCCCCACCTTCTCCCTCCCCACCTTTCCTTTTTTTCCAATATTAGGGATTGAACCCAGGGGTGCTCTACTGCTGACCTAAATTTCCAGCCATTTTTAAATTTTTTGCGACAGGGCCTCACTAAGTTGCTTAGGCTGGCTTTGAATTTGTGATCCTCCTGCCTCAGCCCCCGACGTAACTGAGATGACCGGCATGTGCCACCATGCCTGGCTTCTGCCTCTTTTCTTGCCTGTGTCTTCTCTATCATTCTCTTCCCGTGACAGTTCCTTCCAGGTGTGGCTGGGACCTTGGGAAGATGGGAGCACATCATAACCTGAGGGAAACTCAGAGGCTATCTGATGTCACCTCTGTTTTCAGATAGGCAAACGAAGGCCCAGAGGGAAGGCATGAGCCTCCCAGGATATAAAAAGCAGTGGGAGCAATTTAGAAAAAATAATTTTTTTTCTAAATTGCTGTAATTTTGAGGATCTTTGAGCAAAAAATAACAATATTGATTGCTGAGAAGTTGTGAGGATGAGGGAGAGGAACTAAGGCTAAAAACAGTTTGATGTGTTTCCTAAGACTTAGTCCCCAGAGAAAAAGGCCCAGTTGCTTCTCATTCTTCCTAATGTAAGATTCCAGCTCTGGTGATTTGGGTCAGAGATGAAGGATTTTGAATTAAGTGACTCAAAGTAGCAATGATGACAAAATAACCTTACTTAGAACTTGGCAAATGCTGGTAGAGGAATCCATAGTCCTTTTCTCCTCTTTCTGCTCCTCCTCCTTCTTCTTGTTTTCCTCTTCCTCCTGCTCTTCTTGTGGTAATTGCTTTATTGAGATAATTCATATCTCATGCAATTCACTCATTTAAAGTATATGGTTTTCGTCAGGCACGGTGGCACATGCCTGTAATCCCAGCGGCAAGGGAGGCCGAGATGGGAGGATCTCAAGTTCAAAGCCAGCCTAGCAACTCAGTGTCTCTAAATAAAATATGAAATACGGCTGGGGATGTGGATCGGTGGTTGAGTCCCCCTGAGTGTAATCCCTGGTACCCCTCCCCCAAAAACATAATAAAGTTTATGGTTTTGCAGTGGCACAGCCTATAATCCTTGTAACTCAGGAAGCTGAGACAGGAGGATTGTGAATTCAAAGTCAGCCCCAGCAACTTAGTGAGGCCCTAAGCAATTTAGCAAGACCCTGTCTCTAAATAAAATATTAAAAAGGGTTGGGGATGTGGCTCAGTGGTCAAGTGCCCCTGGGTTCAATCCTTGGCACCAAAATAAATAAATAAAGTATATGTTTTTATTTTAGTACAAGTTTTAGGTTTTTGGTAGTCTCAGGGTTGTGAAACATCACCACTATCAATTTTATAATCTTTTCATCACTCCCAAAAGAAACTTTTTATACTAGGTAGCAGTCCTCAAATTTCTTACCCTTCATTGTCAGTCCCTGGACAACACTAATCTTTTTGTCTCTATACCTTTGCCTGCTTTGGACACTTCATATAGATGGAAACTTATAACAACACATGGTCTTTGTGAGTGACTTTTTTCACTTAATCATAACATTTTCAAGATCTGTCTATGTTGTAGCACATATCAGCACTTCCATTCTTTTTTATGACTGATATTCCAGAGTGTGGGTATACTACATTTTGTTTATTTTCTTATCTGTTGATGGAAATCTAGGTTATTTTTACTTTTTGGTTTTGTGAATAGTGTTGCTATGAACATTTGTGTACAATGTGTGTGGATGTGCATTTTCAATTCTCTTAGGTATATACCTAGGAGATTGCTTAGATTCTGTGGTAACTGTTTAATCTTTTTGGGAAGCTATCACTCTTTTCCAAGATGGCTGCACAATTTTATATTCCCAGAAGAAGTAAATGAGATTTCCAATTTCTCTACATCCTTACCAGTACTTGTCCTTGTCTTTTCCTTTTTTATTTTATTTTTTTAAATAGTAACCATCCAAGTGGCTATAGAGTAATATCTTTTTGTGGCTTCACACCATTATTCTTAAACAATTGTTCCTATTTTTCTTTGTGACTTTTAGATTTCTGTCCATATTGAACACACTTTTATATTTTGCCCCGACTTAGTTTGTTAGAATTGAACTCAGGGGCACTCAACCGCTGAGCCACATCCTCAGCCCTATTTTGTATTTTATTTAGACACAGGGTCTTGCTGAGTTGCTTAGTGCCTTGCTTTTGCTGAGGCTGGCTTTGCATTTGTGATCCTCCTGCCTCAGCTTCCCGAGCCACTGGGAGTACAGGCATGTGGCACTACACCCAGCTCATAAACATTTATTGTTGCTGCTACTCATAGGCATCATTGTAATGTTGCAAAAAACTCTTGTAAATTGGCTGCCCAGTTCTGAGGGGAGAACTCTTGGGTGTGGGGTGGAGAAGGTCAAGGTGCCCTCAGGAAACAGGCACTTCGCTGTACCCATAGGCTACTGCTACTATAAGCTCCTGGGAGCCTTCTCTACAGACAGCCTGGGCTGTTTCACCAAGTGCCGGAAGCCATGCAGGTGAGTGTCCCCTGCTCTCAGGCACAGGTTGGGCAGCAGGCTGCTTGGCTGGGTAGGATACAAGGTAACCAGCTAGCTTTGGAGTGGGAGAGCCCTACTCCATTACTAAGCACCTTTCTCCATCTTCAGTGTGACCAATTACAAGCTGTCTGCTGGTTACTCACGATGGCCCTCAGTGAAATCCCAGGTAAAGTGGGGAAGGGAGAGATTGGGGGACTTGCACACATGCCTGTGCCCATGCAAGGGTAACTCTGTGACCTTCTCTGGGTGTTGGTGTGCTTGACCTGATCCCATTCCTCTGCACCTGAGGAATACAGGGATGAATTCCATGACACTACTGTTCTTTCCCAGGACTGGATTTTCCAGATGCTGTCCCTACAGAACAATTACCCCATCAACAACAGAAGGTGAGTCCTGCCCTGGTCTTAGCTATAGGATAGGAATCCCTGGGAGGGAAACCAGATCTGGGAAGAGGAATTGATTCAGTTGTTTAGAAGAGGGTTCAAGAACTTAATCCTCTAATATTTCTTCCCACCTCTCTCCCACTCCAAAGAAGTGGAGTTGCTAAACTCAACGTCTTCTTCAAGGAGCTGAACTACAAGACCAATTCTGAATCTCCCTCTGTCACGGTATGGCCTGCCTCACAGACCCTGTAATTCTCTTGGGGGGTCTTGGCAGGGTGGTTTTCCTTCTGTGGGGGCCAGAGAGTTTCAGCCTTGAATGTAGGGGACCAAGGAAAATGGGTGTGGGGTCAAGGGTGAGGTTGAGAGGGTTGGAAGGAGGGGAGCTAGAGTTGGGGTTTGAGGTTTGAGCTGGTGGAAGGTACATGTATGTCAGATGATGGGGAGAAGGCCCTTGAGACACACCCCAGTTGCCACTGGCCTCATTACCAGTTTTCCTGGGTGATACCAGTCAGGAGCTATGTGTTCCTAAGGGGGAAGAGCAGCAGCAGGGGGGCATGGAAGGTCTGAGGGGATAGTTGGGGTCCTCAGGCAGGAAGGGGATTGTGAATTCAAAGTAAGTGAGGAGGGGGCTCCTCTGTCTGAGCCCACCCTCTGCCCCATGGTCAGTGTACCTCTCTCCCCTCACAGATGGTCACCCTCCTGTCCAACCTGGGCAGCCAGTGGAGCCTGTGGTTTGGCTCCTCAGTGCTGTCTGTGGTGGAGATGGCCGAGCTCATCTTTGACCTCCTGGTCATCACATTCCTCATGCTGCTGCGGAGGTTCCGAAGCCGATACTGGTCTCCAGGACGAGGGGCCAGGAGTGCAAGGGAGGTGGCCTCCACTCCACCTTCCTCCCTTCCCTCCCGCTTCTGTCCTCACCCTACATCCCCATCCTTGCCTCAACCAGGCCCTACTCCCTCCTCGGCCTTGACAGCCCCTCCACCTGCTTATGCCACCCTAGGTCCCTGTCCATCTCCCTTGAGCTCAGCAGGGGCCAGCTCCTCTGCCTGTGCCCTGGGAGAGCTCTGATAGGGAACTTAGCCTACAGTGTTTCTCCCACCAAGGCCTGCGCTCCCCTGTGGCAGGGGCCCAGCCTTGGCAAGGTTAAAAGATGTTTGGGGCTTCCTCTCAAAGCTTCTCACTGCCTTTGGTGTGGGGGAGGGAAGCAGGATGGGTAAGGGGTCCAGGAAGTTGCCCAGAGAACAGTGGCCAATGAAGCCACCCAGAACTGCTTTGGTCCTGCCCTGCAACCTCGGTCCTGCCCTTGAACACTCTGATTTCCACACAAGTGCAAACAAGTCTCCTTTTCCCTTGGATCAGCCAAGCTAAACTTGGAGTTTTGCCAAGGAACTTTCCTAGGAAACGACCAACAACCAGAACAAAACACAAACAAGGACATACAAAGGCATATCTAGGTTTCCTACCCACAGTGACCAAAGCCAGCCCCAGGCTGGCCTGGCCACACTGCCATCCAGTGATACAGATGTCTGCTCCTTTTCTTGAACTTGGGTGGGAAACCCCACCCGAAAGCCCCCTTTGTTAGCTCTTGGGCAATTCCCCTTCACTGACTTCAGGGCAGGAGCTTGAGCAGACCAGTGTAGAAAGGTTTGGTCATTCCCAGTCATTCCCAAGACGCTTCTAGTCTCATACTTCACACCCCTGCGGAGATGCCCCAGTGCCTCTGCCCTGTGTCCTTCATTCCCCTGCACGACTGCTCAAGCTATTTCCTCAGCCTGAACACTTGCCTCACCATCTGGAGGACTATGCATCCTTTAGAACCCTTTCAAATACCATTACTTCCTTGAAGGCTTCTGCTCCATCTTGTCTTCCCCAGAATTGATCACCCACTCTCCTTTGGACTCCCATGGCCCACTATAACATCTTCTGGACTGCTGATGTTGCATTAAACGTTTGTGTTCATGTGTGTCTGCCTCCCCGACTAGACTGTGAGCTCCTTGTGGTCATTTCTATATTCTCCAGGTCTAGCCCAGTGTCCCACTTGGAGCAAGTAGACAGGTTCTCAATAAATGTTTGTTGCATAAAGCAATGTCTGCTGAGTTGAATGGGGCCCCAAGAAGATGGTAGGGAGTAGACACAAGTCGTGAAGTCAATGCCCACTCTTCTGGGAGGTCCTGGGGCAAAGAGGGCCAGAGAGATTCCCATGCCCTCTGGCTCACCATGGAAGAGATCATTCTTCAGGTGCCTTATAGGAGAGAAACTATCTTATGAGTTCATTCACAGGTGTGGCAAAGGATTGCTATGTGCCCATCACCATATTAAGGTGGAGGGGGAAGACTTGGTGTTCTGCAGTGATTGGTAAGACTCTGCTCTCTGCAAGGTCTGAACCTCCCTTTCCTTTCCAACTTTAGTCACCATCATCATTAACTCTCTGCTCCATTTGCTGAGTACCAGTCACCACCCAGCCACAGTATAACCCTCATCTGACCTCCTGCCCATCAACTGCCTAAGCAGTGGAGAAGGATGAGATGCAGGCCAGTTTCTTCTGAAACCTCGGAGCTCTATTTAGCCTTACTCACATTTCATCATAGAGAAGAGCAGAGAAAATCATTCTCGTTTCAATGAAGGAGAAATTGAGGTCCAAGGAGAGGCTGAGGGGTATCTGGGTGGAACCCTATTTTTCTGATCCCAGTCCTTCCACCCCCTCCAGCATCAGATCTAGAACCCAAAAGTAACCCCTTTTTCATTATCTTTGGGATACTTCCCCTGTGGCCTTGGTTTTATTCCTGTTATTTACAGTCTGTCCTGAGGATCCAGAGGCGAAAAGGATCTTGAGGAAAGAGGAGGAGTTGGTAAAGGGAGTGGGGACATAGGAAGGGTCATGAGCCAAAATGACGTGGTGACTTCTGACTTCCCTTTCCTAGATTCAGGCTGATGAGGGGGAAATGGTGCTGTCCTGATAGTTTCCACGGTCAGAGTCCTCAGGTACCTTCTGCTCTTATCTTCTCTCTGCCATAGTCTTGGCCACCGCCTTGTCCCACCCCGTGCCCAGTGCCCTCTCCTCTGGCTGGGGAGGAAGCACCTACTGGACTAAGCTGGATCGATTGTAGATGGTGCAATCCCTACCCATGCTCCAGTTTCTCCTTGCCTGCCTATACTTCCTCCCTGAGGTCTTTCCTCATCTCTATCTCTTGTCCTAAGAGTTGGCATCAGGGTGTTAGAGAAAAAAGTGTTTAAGTGGCCTCATTTTCCTTATTGGGCTTAGTGGGTACAGTGATTTCCCCAAGTTTATAATTTTTACAGAGGAGCCTAGAACTCACAGGTCTCTTTCTATGACTCACCCTGCCTCCCTGTGATAGGATGAAGTCCCGAATGACAGAGGTGGAGCTAGAACCCACGTCACTCAGAGTTCAATGCCCTTTTGGGTTACGTATGTGTGTGTTTGTGTGTGGGTGCACGTGAGACGTGATAGGGGAGGGGCATCTCTGCTATCTGAAGCTCTTTCTTTTCTTCCTCCTTTGTCTCAATAAACCTGACTCAGACTCTGTCATCCCCTGTTCTGTTTTTTCATTTCTTTCCCACTTTACCCACCATTATTGTTTCTACCCCTGAAGGATCACAGTCTCACTTTCATCTCCTCTGTAAAACTAGCTAACTTTTCATATCCCTAGATCCACCCATTGCTCACTATCTTTTCTTCTTCTTTTTAATAGAATTTTATTGAATAATTCAGTATCACATGTGCCAAGGGTTTAAACTTAATGAGTAAAGCAACAATTATCCTAAATCATGAAAGAAATTCACCTTTTGTGCCAAGCTTTGTGTTAATGGCTTTGGCAGTTTGCACAGACTATTGAGAGTCTTTGTAATATTAAAAATGGGACATTGATGTTGTTATTAATTTTAATATGAACTATTAATATTGCCACCACTTATAAAATGCTTAATGTATGGCAAACACTTGCTAAACACTTTATATGCATTTAATCATAAAATCAACTCTGTGAGAGGTATTAGTGAGTTTCTCATTTACTTAACTTTTTTCCCCCAGTGCTGGGGCTCCAGACCAGGGCTTTGCACATGCTAGGTAGTCTCTCCACTAGGCTACATCCCCAAGCCTCCCATTCATTTTAGATGAGGAGCCTGAGGCTCTCCTGGTTTCTTCACAATGGAAAGTGGCCAGTCTGACCCTTGCATTACATTCTTTTCTTTTTTATTTGTTCTTTTTAATCACACATGACAGCACAATGTGTTTTGACATATTATTCATACATGCACATTCTTCCATTCTTGTGGTTGTACATGATGTGGAGTTACACTGATCATGTACCTTGCACTACATTCTAATGAACTTGTTTTCTTCCAAAGCTCTGCTTGGGCCTCACTCCTACTGTACCTGGCCTTTTTGTATGTTGATAGTGAACCCCTTCCTCCTTGAGTCCACTTTCAACCTACTAGTTCTCCAGAAGCTGGAGGACAGGGTAAAGTCAGTCCCACCACCAGTGGGGGCACCTAAACCCTCCATTCCCATTTACAGATGCCCTGCCTTTAGGGTTAGGATGGCAGAGGCAGGAAAACCAGAGGCAGGAAAAGCTAAGGCAGGAGGGCTTGGGGCTGGAAGGTCAGCTGGTGGATCAAAGGGAGAAGAGGCAGGGAGCTCTGCTGTACATCATAAAGCCCCAGGACAGCACTTTCTGGTCCCCCTGTGTTTTCTACAGCCTCAGCACCTGAAAGACTTAGCGTGTGGGGGAAGGCATTGTATTCCGTGGGCATTTGAGTCAATATTGCACTCAGGGTATAGAATTTGCTTGGGAGAAGCCCTGCCTAAACTGGGATAGTATTTTACATTAACAGAGGATGACAGGATATGGGGACTGAGAGGGACCCTGACAACAAAACAAACAAGAAAGGAAGAAAAAAAAAGACCCCAAAGGACAAACAAAAATAAACCCCAAGGGGACATTGGGAAAAGTGGCACTGTGTGTCTCATAGACAAAGGGGGCCCTTTGTTTGCAAACTAAGAATTGGGTGTTCTCTGCTTCTAAATGCTATGTATCTCTGGCCCTCACTCTTCTCATCTAGAAAGTCAGAGGGTTCCATAAATTCTCTTTCTAGGGTCAGTTCTGATGGATGTGACAAAATATTTGGGAAAAGGGTGTTGAAAATGGACTTTTGATATCTCCTGGAGATACCCAAATATCCAAAGCATCTTCACAAATACGGTCTCATTGATCTTCATGGCCTCATTTCCCCTTGTAGGTGGGCAGACACTTTACCCCCTTTAATAAGAGGAACCAATCAAAGCTCAGGAGCAGGGTTGCCTGATGTCCCACAGTTGGTGGCAGAGCTGGGATCAACAGCTGGGGGCACCTGTCAGGTGGAAACTGGTTAAGAGCCAGAGGGTGGGGGCCAAGGGTTAAGGTCCCAATTAGGGCAGAAAACTAAGATTAGAATTGACTTTGAGTATTGGTTTGGATGGGCAAACTCCCACCAGAGAGGGGAAGTAGAATGCCAGTGGGAACTCCAGGGTAAAGGGGAGGGCCACTAAGAAACACTGAGTACTTCCCACAGTCAGACGTTTGTGTATTGTTTCAGTAAATCCATACAGCAACCTGGCCTTGCAAATCGAAAAACAGGCTCAGAGAGGTTAGATCATGTGTTTAAAATCACCTAGCTAAAAAGTAGTGGATTCTGAACTGGAACTTAGTCATTTTGACAATTTGACTCCAAAATCATAGGTCTTCCCATTCGTAGCTGAGAAAGGCCAGGGCTGGGGGCGGCCGGGGAGGGGGTGGTGTCAGTGCACCTTGGGGTTTGGTTGCGAGTGGGTGGATGGGTGGGCTGAGGGTGCAAGGCCGCGGGATCTGGGGCTCTGGTGCCTCTGACTGGGCTACAAAGCGTTAAAGAACCTTGGCCCCCTCCACCCTCCACCCCCGCCTCCTCCCCGGGCTCTTCCTGTCCCTGTTGCAACACCGCCCGCCACTCTCCCTTCCCCTCCCACCTTCTCTCTCCTCTCTGCTTTAATTTTCTCCTGTAAGTTCTTTAGATTCAGCCTCCATTTCTGGCCTCCTGGGTTCGAGGTCCCTGGTCCTGGGTTGTGATATCCTGCCCCAAGTTTCAACGCTCAACCCCCACTCTCACCCCAAGGCCCAGACGGCGCTGGGGACCTCCTGGGCAGACCCGTGCGACTCCGGTCGCTGCCGTGCCGCTGGCGCCGCCACCACCGCCGCCGCCGCCGCCGCCGCCCCGAGCCCCAATGGGGGAGTGAAGCCCACAGCCGGCCCGACATGGGCCTCCCCATCGTACCTGGCCTGCTGCTGCCACTGGTGAGACCAGGGTCAAAGGGAAGAGTGGGCTGGGGGCATGCGCCTCCTGGCAGGAGGGGGCCAGACTTTCCAGTCTCGGCCTGTCCTTGGTGCCAGTCTCAGGCCGGCTTGGCCTGACCTCAGGCGCTGACCTTTCAGGTTTCCCCATTCACCCTTCTCTAGGAGAAGGGGCTGCACTGAGGCCGGGGCAGAGGGGGGCAGGGAGGGACGAGTTTGAAAGGGAGAGAGTGAAAGGAAGCTCTGACAGCCCAGGAAGTTGGATTGGGCCAGGGGGTGTCTGGGAATTTGGGGGTTGGTGGAAGGTCAAGGGTGGGGCGGATTTGGCAGGGGGGAAGAAAGGAATGAAAGAAGGAGGTGGATCCTCTTGGAGTCCAGATGATTTGGAATTTAGTTCCTCTGGGCAGCTGGATGGCTCAGGAGTGTGTTGGGTGGTAAGGCCACCTGTGGAATTCAGCTGAGCAACCTGTTAGGGCAGGAGTTGAATGGCTTGTGAAATGGGGAAACTGAGCCTGGGAAGCAGATGATGGGTTGGTGGGGTGGGTTTGGGATGCTGTGTAGTGGAGGGTATTGGAGAGTGGAGCGAGATACTGGGTAGGGACAAGGCAACCAGTGGATAGCTGTCTTGGGCCCTGGGAGGCCCAGGTTTCCCACCTGGGGGCATACTCTGTCCTTCTGCCTCAGCCTCAGCTCCCAGACTCCTTCCAACCCCCTCCCCATAGACCTAAACAACAATCATTTGGTTTCTAAATCCTGTGTTCA